TTCAGAGTCTTGCTCAAGGACACTTCAGCTGTGGAGGATCAAACCACCAGCCTGCGACTGGAGGACAACCTGCTCTACCACCTGAGCCACCGCCGCCCTCCTAACTTTGGTAAATAAACTGGTCATGTTGTTCTATGTTTTAAACAATATCAGGCCTTACATTTAATATTTAAATTAATGGTTTACACTTGTGTAATTAATAATATTGTACCCTTCATACTCATGTTAGTTTCTGAACCCTAGTTTTTAAAGTTATCCTGGTTTATTTGGGATGATATCGTAGAGTCCCAATCGTCTAAATTAGCCAAATCAGTCTGTACAGTGTGTAATACTGCAGGTTCCTGACCTTTTCTCTCTCTTTTTTGAAATCGTTCGATGCATCTATAATGTTAACGTTATTTCTCTGTTATCTGTGAAGATCCTCAGTCCTCCAGGTCGTGGTTGTTCTCGTAGATTAATCGTAGCAACTGCTTGAGTTCCTTGAAGACGTTCCACCTTCATCCAAGAGGCTCCATCAGCTCTGACTGACTAGTTGGGAGATCCAGATATCCTTAAGGAGCCGTTAACACCTGAGTTTCGGAGTCGTTTGTTCTCCCTCTGCCACAGTGGGGTTCCTTAAGGTGTTTTGTGGTTTGGTGTGAATGTGGTTTCACCAGGAAGATGAGTTGCAAGTCAAGTTGCTACGATTAAACTACGAGAATTATTGATCTGTTGGAAAACACTTCGGCTTAAAGTCTGTTGTTTAAAACATGTTTTAGAAATAACTCTAACCTTAAGAAATCAAAACTATTGTTATTTCAATACATATCAGTCAACTATTTGATTTATTCGGAGTCTGTAAAATACCAGTTCACAAACAGCCCTGTGGGGTTTTGTCAGCGGGCGTTTATTTGTCTTTTATTTTGAAGTTGTGACCGGAAGCGCTCGTCTCTCCGCCGCCACTCCGTCCAGCTTGACCTCGCAGCAACTTTGCTCCACGTTCCGAGCTGCAGCTTCCAGCGGGAAACGAGCTGCTCTTCTCTCCGCCAGCGCGCTCCTTCTGCTCCTGAAACCCGAACCAGGACGGTCACCGGCGGCGGCATGAGCCGGTCCCGGTAGAGAGCCTGCTCCGGTTCCGCACCCCGCAGATCCACCGCCGTCCCCTCCCCGCCTCCGAGGCCATGGGCTGCGGCTTGAGAAAGCTGGAGGACCCGGAGGACAGCAGCCCCGGGAAGATCTACTCCACCCTGAAGAGACCGCAGGTGGAGACCAGAACCGACACCGTGTTCGAGTACGTCCTGCTGGACTTCAGCCTGGAAGGTAATCAATGCTCTCATCGATCAGCGATCAGAAGGAAGTGACTGAAACCTGATCAGGTCATTTTCAGATCCACTGATTTCTGTGATGAATTCCACATCAGAGCAGAATGAAGATGTTCTCATCAGCTTCATCTCATTAATCAATCACCAAACACCTTCAGTAGCAAAGGTGATCAATACAACAGATGGAAATCAGAGGAAAACAATCATCAGTTCAACTTTTGACCTAAAAATGATTTTTTAAATTATTTTTTTAAAATCAACATCAAATTGACCAGATGGCTTCAGCAGCTTCTTCATGTCAACTTTTACTGTTGGTTCATATTTTATAAACATTTTGGGGAATTTTTCAGGAACAGTTTAGTGAAAAACGTTCAAAGTTTTCCAGCTGCAGCTTCATAAAAGTGAACATCAGAGACAAACAGCTGATCGATTGGTCCAGAAGATGATCTCCAGATGATCAGTAATATTAGCTCATTATCAGCATTTGTTCATCAATTCACTTTAATTTTTTTTTTTAAAGCTGCTGAATATTTGTTGGTTTTATTTAAATTTGGGAGTTTTTTTTTTTGTTTGTTTTTTCAGCTGTTGGGTAAATAAAGCAGATTAATTCTTCTTTATTTGGACTTAAAGTCATTTCTAGATTCTTTTCTGATATTTTCTGATTGTCGACGTCGTGTTTCCGTTCAGGCCTGACTTCTGTCCCAACATTTATCAGTCTGATCATTAAAAACCCCTAAAATGAGGAATTATTGTCGTTTAGAGTTCAGATGAAGGATTCTTTAGACCTGAACTGATTCATGACCTCTTATGTTTGATTAAAGTGAATCTTTTAACTCTGGATTCATCTCAAAGCGAGTTTTCAGATGTTTTCCAGCTTCTGTCCGATGGTAAATGGATTTATTGGGGTTTGGACCTGAACGATCAGTTGGTTTGTTTTCACCATTCATTAGTTTTTTCACATTAAAAGCACCAACATGTGCTTCTCCAGTGGGAGGATTTGATGTTTATTTCACTGTAAGTTGAACATTTTATTGATCGATCACATGAACGGCTCAGACAATGAACCAATCAACAGTCCTGATGACTGATTGTTTGCTTTAAAAGCTGAAATGATCTCGTTTAGTCTCTGAAAGTGTTTCTGACACGTTCTCAGACCTGAACTGACGGTCCGACTGTTTTCTTTTTTTGCAGCGGTTTAACTGTGGATTCATGTATTTGGGCTTCAACACTATTATTGGTCAAATCACTATTTCCTGACACATAGACCTGAACAGTCAGTTGATTGATCCTCGTCATCATGTCTCACCATTGATTAGTGTTTTCACATTAAAAGCATCAGCGTGGGACTCTCCAGTGGGAGGATGTGTTGCTTCGTTCCGCTCTGTGTGACTGTAGATGGACTCTATTTGGGTTTTTGGCCCGTCCAGATGTTGCTCAGAGTCTTCTGATCCGATTCCACCGGCTCCAGTCTGCTTTATTTACAGCTGTGGCCTTGAAGGAAGCGGCCGTCTCTGGTCTTAATGGACCTTCAGCTGAACAAATACAGGTTTATTTTTACCGTTTCCCATTTAAAAAAAGGTCTGAAAGGCTCCTGGTGGTTCCTTCTTCTGACTCAGATGTTCCTCTTTGTTTATCTGCTTCTAAATCGGTCCTCAGCAGCCGACGGCTTCGTGTCAGCGTCGCTTCATTCTCCCCTCACGCCTCAGATTTTCCTGTGAACTAAACATCATGTTGTCGCTGTTTTAAACAAGTTAAAGCTGAATTTAATGTCTTTCAAACTTTGAAACGTTACAGACTTTTCCTGGAAACCAGTTCAGTTAGAACCAGCTCAGCTCACTGGTACCAAATACTCTGATGCCCCTTTTCCACCAAACTGGTTCCAGTGCTGGTTCAGAGTCAGAGCCTGACTGAGCACAAGCACCGGCTCCAGGTTCTCAGAACTGGGGCTTTTCAGGCGGGGTCATCGAGACCACCGAGACCGATGAATGAATGGGACACACAGGCGGTGATATGGGTCGTTTTTCACCAGGATCTCTGGTCCGATCACAGATGTACTGGAATCAGTCCTGGGACACACAGAAGTTCTGCACAAACCATTGAAACCCGGTCCAGCTGTGTCCCAGCAGCAGCACCACGTGGTGGAAAACAGTACTTTTATAACTTTGGTGTTCTGCGGTGTTTACGCTTAGACATGAGGTCTTCTCTGAAAAACGGAGCTCATCTACCTGCTCATAGAAAAGACCCTGGAGGCTGAGTGGATGGAAGTCGGCATCGTGGTCTCTCCGGAGAAACAAACCAGAATGAGTCTTCAGCTTCGGTCTGAATGAAGCTTCAGGATGTGTTTTATGAAGTGAAGGAGAGAAACTCGACTCCATCGCACACGGAGAACATTTTCTAACGTGAGGAACGTGTGAAAACGTTGAGATGTGAGTGTGAAGCTGCAGATAAACTGGAGAGATTCCAGTCTGCTGAAGGATTCCTCCGTCACTCCATCAGCGGTTTATTCCACCACAGTCTGTGTTCAGCTGCTCGTTCAGGAGCTGAAGTAAAAATAATTAGAAGTATTTTATGTCTCGATGCGTTCGGCCAAGTTTCTGCTGCCAAATAATCATGAAAGAGCCTCAAAGCCAATCTGTGATACCAAATGTACTGGCAGGGTTTCAGGTCCACAGCTTCAGCTCGCTGCAGACCCTCAGACCTCCTCAGTGACGGAGACCAACTCACCGGAGACGTCCTCAGATCCCAAAATACCAAGAACTGTTCTGTTCAGTCGGTGGTGAGACCGGAGCGCCTGGATGCTATGAATCCACCAGAAAGTGAGCCGACTCGTAGCTTCAGTCCTGGATTCGATCATCTCGTGTCCTCCAGATCAGCTGCTGTTTCTGTGGATTTGATGGTCGTGATGCCTCATTGATTCCTGATCAGTCTGTTTGGTTTCTGGCAGGTCAGAAGTATCACATGTTCCACATTCCTTTGTGAAGAGAAATCAGTCAGATTTCACCATTTATCAGCCAGAAACTGTAAAAGTCTGCTCCTCAGCATTTCAGTGTTGAACAAATTGAGTTATTCTACATTTATTTATTTGAAATTGCGCAAATTTGAAACGAAACGACCAAAAACAGACAAAACA